CAGCCACCCCGGCCAGGGGGCCACTCACAGGAACCAAGAGCCACACCTCAGGAGACCAAGCAGCACCAGGGAGGACCTTTAGCCAAGTCTGAGTGAAGCCTTCTGCCCTTTTCTCCAAACTCAGTGCTCCATGACTGACATTATGGTTAATAAGGTATTAATTACTGATAACTATTAGATGGAACGTTACTTCAAAAAAGATAATAACTTTAAATCTTCCAATCCAATTTATTTATAAAGCCCTTTAAAACTGCCATACAATAAAATACAGTAAAAACACTCAACAATAAAAGATAAAAAGGAAAAAAACTAAGGAAAAAAAATAATGAAATCCATAAAAACATCTTAAGATGTAATAAAAGCCAGTAAATGAAAAAAAAATTAAGTGAAATTTTTAAAGCAGCTWATGAGGAGGTTTGTCTTATGTGTAAAGGCAAGGGCCATAATATACAATAAAAACAAATGCTCAACAAAAAAGCATAAAAGCAAAGGAACAAAGAGGCAGAAACAGTGGCATTACCTGAAAACCAGCACCTTGGTTTTCTTTTCATTAAAACTTAAAAAAATTCAACATCCTGGCACAAATTTCATCACAGCAGTCAAGTAAGTTTCTGATTGACAGGTCATCCTTTCAAATTAAAGGTAGATAATCTGTGTGTCATCTGCATAACAATGGAAAGATATACCACGCTTTCTGWAGATGGAACCAAGTGGAAGTATGTATTGAGAAAATAAAAGAGGACCAGAGATTGATCCCTGAGGAACTCCACACAAAAGGGGGGCAGATGGAGATCTGAAGCCATGGAGGTTAACAGAGAATGTATGTCCACAGATAAGACTTAAACCACTCCAGAGCTTAACCTTGAACACCAACCCACAGCTCTAAATGGGAGATTAAAACATTATGATCCACTGTATCAAACGCAGCCTTGAGTCTCCGCTACGTCCAAACGTCGGAGGGTTGTTGCATTTGGTACAATGCTGCAGTAAAAGCTCCATAAACGCATAACTAGTGTCACCATCATTCAGGCATGTCTCTGTTATAAAAAGAAGTCTGTGATGTGAAAAAGTCCTTRAGGATGAATGTTTTGTTTGCTAGTAATCTAGCGTTGACCTGGCCGAACTGTTTGGCCTAACATGGAAGCTGTCATGACACATTACTGTGTTTGCTGCTTTGAGATACCTTTTTATCAGGTTGAGGAAGTGCATAAAAGCCAACCAGAGAAGCCCAAATCAGTTCTGCTGCCTGAAGCCACAGGCCTGAAACAAAAAATATATATTTAAAAAATAACAAAACAAATTACAACTTATTCACATAGYAAATTATACTTACCCAACTTTTGCAAAATCGTTCCACGTACTTGAACACTAACAGCCTGCACTAGAGCCCTGTCACTGTCAGACTGGTAGCTCCAACAACCTGGATAACAAAGTTCACTATGATTTTTGATTGATTGATTGATTGGATTGATTGATTGATTGATTGATTGATTGATTGATTGATTATCATTCAAATTAAAGCAATACTTCAGATTTTTTCAAGTGAGTTTCTGTGGTATGAATAGTATAGCTATTTGAACACCCTAGGTTTGGAACCGATTATATTCATTGATGGGTTAACAAGCTAGCAGCTAATCTGAGTGAAACTAAAGCCAAGATCTTACTCCAACTGTTGGTAACACAATGGAAACAGCAGTCAAAATGAAATTGCCAAAATGTCTTAAAACATTTGTGAGGGTTCTTAATATTTTTATGAGTGGCAGGGTCTTGCTCTCAGGTTGCAAGCATTTTTTTAACATGTTCCTAAAATTTGCACAAGTTTTCACTCAAATAGACATTGCTGGAACCTCTCCGAAATCCTACTCAACTGAGGCCTTGTTCACATGGGGCACAATTGTTACAAAACAATCTCTTATTTGCTGTTTCAAAAGGTTGCGTTTTGGCTAACCCTAATAAAAATGCAAGGGCAGCCATTCAAGATTTTTCATTATGGAACACTTTTTATTAAAAAAAGTACCTTTTCAAGGCTCCGAAAACGCTGTTTCTGTATGGCTGAAAGGCTGAAAAAAATAAAATAAAAATCCAAAAAGCTTTTGTATAATCTTACCTTAGCTTCTGTGAGAAATGTGAGGCAACTTTGTGACAAATTGCCAACTGATAAAAGTAAATTGAGACTGACTTGTGACAAAAAGAACCGGACATCGCAGGCCAATCATACTGGCCCCACATGACTCCGCCAATTCAGGGTCTTTATTCAAATGGCTTGGCTGTCGCAAGTGGCAAAAATTTAATTTCGCCGGGATCATTCATTCATTCATTTTAACAGTGTACACAAATGTCTCAATTCAATYGGTTTCCAACAAGTGAAACTTTGCATATTTTCTTTCAATTTTGTATGTTCAGTATGTCGCTGAGAGTTGCAGCCTAGCAAGATCCTGGCTTAAGGCTAAAATAGATTTCTCCATTCTCAAAAAGACAAAGGGGTTCATGCAAACACTGTTAAAATTGTACACAACATGGTCAATTTGAATGACAGTTTTATTTATATAAAATTATGTGATAATTTGTAGACGTAAACTTGACCCTGTTCAAACTACATGTTAGCTTGTCAGTCCAATCAGAACTAACTAATATATCGCCAAACTGAGAATATTCAACAGGTAGAATATTAAGTGTTCATAACCWGGCCACAAAACCCCACTTTAAAAGAYCTGAACTATTCCTTTAAGTCACTATAAATGGACAAACCAAGAAAGTACCTGTTGTTCCACTATTGTTAATTAAGCTGCTCAGGATGTATTCGGCCTTCTGAAGCTTGCCTGTGGGTTGATGAACAAATTCRCGCATGATAAAGGAGATAAAAGTTGCTTTTTTAAACACGTATTAATCGTGATTTGAGTTTACAGTAAAATACATGCATCCTGATTTGTGATATGATTACTGGATCAGTATCACATTCAACCCCACCTGAGTTTAGATAGACCCGGGCCTGCCGGATGACCAGCTGAGGGGCTATGGGAGTGGCAGGGTGCCGTCGGTGGAGCAGCTTGGCGATCTTCAGCAGCCGGCTGGATTCATCGGTCCAGTAGACGAAGCGATCCACTAAGAAGACCACTGCCAGTGCGGACTGTGTTTCCTGAGCTCTGATGGACGCCTCCAGAAGAACCTTTTATTACAGTTAACATTTCTGTTACATAAAAGGCAGGAGCTTGTTCATAAGAAATGTTCTACACAAACTGCTGGAAGCTGGTTACCAGTAGTTGGTGCAGGTGCTTGTTGATGAGGTCACTGAGGTTAGTCTTGTCGTTGGGACTGACTGATTTCTTGTACTGCCACTTCTCCGGCACAAATGGCCACTTCATGTCCACAGCTTCCTGCAGCAGAGAGGCCAGTTCTGCACACAGCGAGTCTATGGGGAACAAAAGTGGGATTTCTTAAATCTAACCAAACTGTAATAAGGCAAAAAAAAAAATCAATATTTTTTAATTAAATAAATGACATGAACAAGCTTTTAAGAAGGGTTTAATATCTACATTGACTTTCAATTGTTGTGTTTCAAAAAATCTAAAAAGCAAAGAAACATCTGGACACTTTTTATTAGTTTAAATGGTGCAAAAATAGAGTTGTGTTTTTGTCATCTTTCATTAGAAGGTGACCTATGACAGTCAAACGTTTTCCATTGTTACTGTCTCAATGTGGGCACAACTCCTACATTGGTTTTACGGCACCTGGTATGCCCATGCAGTCTCCCATCCAAGTACTAAACAGGCCCAACCCTGCTATGTTTCTGAGATCAAATCATTATTATGACATGAAGCAGGGGCCATATTGTTTTCATAGYGTTTATTTATTAAATTAACTGTCTTCAAGATTTTTGGTCAACCGTAGCACAGAAAGGGCTGCACCGATCATTTTGAAAATTTGGTAGGAATGTAGATTTGTCCAACCTACACTGTGCCAAAAAATGCTTTTATGATAGAGCCCATATTTGAGGAGGGGGGCTCCATCTGAGAAGGTGGGGTCTGGACATGCAAAAAATACTTCTAACTCAAAAACTATTTTCAACATAGGAGCTTCAGATTTTTTGTTGTTTAGCTCTGATGAAGGGCTATCCATTGAGCCCACCAATGAGTTCTAAATGAGCAGAAGACCGGTTTAAAAAGTAGAAGAGCAGATAAATGAGCAGAATAGAGGTTAAAGTTAACCAAACAGAAGCCGAAAACTAAAAACAGCAAAACGGTAGTGATGAAGCATCCCTGCTCCTTCACACTTTTTCAGCAGACTCTGGTTTAGACCGAAGTTACTATACACAGATTAGTTAGTTGTTGCATAGTTCGTGTAACAAAGTTCATTATCGTGTCCCTATTCCCTCACTAGATTAAAACATCCAAGGGTGCACACTTGGGGATTCAATTCAGAATATGAAACATTTTAAGCACTTTTCTAGTTGGGGTTATGACAGCTGCTTCCCTCATTGCACGACAGACGATGTTTTCAATTTATTCCATGATCACGTGATTCTGTTAATTGATTTTGGGTATTTTTTATTTTTTTGGTGTTTTGATGATTGGGAAACAGTAAACTGATTTGTTAACATGGCATTTTTGTTGAAACTTTGAGTTTTGTGTTGAAACCAGCGCTCTTTATGTCAAGGTGTTCATTGAGAAAAAAAAAGGTAATTGTGAGCCTGATGGGAGGAGGTGCTGCCCATAACTGAAGAGGATGGAAGTGAATGAGTAAGATGTTTATTTACTTATTTATTTACTAGGGGTGCAACAATACATGTACCCGTACCGAACCGTATCGAACAGTGCTGTATAAAACAATACAGATTTTAAAAATTTACTTTATCAACATGTCTTCTGAAGGATCAGTGGATCTGTGTTCGACTACTCCACCTAGGCTGCATTTTGAACGCAGATCCACTGAGAAACTTGCTGTTTCAGCAACATTTAGTTAAAAAACTGTACTTTTGAGGTTAAACAAATGTTCATAATTAATATAAATGAATTACAAGTTAAAAGGGGCATGGACATTTCTCTTTTTTGTATCAAAAAAATATTGAACCGTGAGACTAAAGTATCGAACTGAACCGTGAATTTTCTGTATCGTTGCACCCCTATTATTTACTTACTTGCGTATTTGCTCAGTTACTTACTCGCTTACTTACTAACTCTTATTAACTCACTCACTTACTTTCTTACTTACTTACTTGCTTACTTACTAACTCTTATTAACTCACTCACTTACTTTCTTACTTACTTACTCACTTGTTGACAAATTAACTCGCTTACTTATTTATTCAATTGCTTACATACTTACTAACTTGCTCACTTATTAACTCACTTTCTTTCTTACTTACTCACTTACTTACTTGCTTGCTTACTTACTCAATTGCTTGCATACTTACTCACTTACTAACTCGCTCACTTACTATCTCACTTACTTGTTTACATACTTGCTTACTCATTTACTTACTCATTTGCCTACATAATTATTTACTCACTCACATACTTACTTACTTACTTACTTACTTACTCGTTCGCTTGCTTGCTTACTTACTTACTTACTCGTTCGCTTGCTTGCTTACTTACTTACTCGTTCGCTTGCTTGCTTACTTACTTACTCGTTCGCTTGCTTGCTTACTTACTTACTTACTTACTCGTTCGCTTGCTTGCTTACTTACTTACTTACTCGTTCGCTTGCTTGCTTACTTACTTACTTACTCGTTCGCTTGCTTGCTTACTTACTTACTTAC